CCTTCCTTCCTTCTTTCCTTCCTTCTCACACTTTTCAGGCAGGCCTGTGATTCTTAAATTATCTCTCCCCTGTCTGTTTTCCAGGTCAAGGTTTTTTGTTTTATTTCTAGTAAGAGACACTTTTTTTTCTACTTTTTCCAGTCTTTTGACTTTGTGTCAGTGTTTTTCTCATGACGATATTAACTGTTTCATCCATTCTAATTTTTAAGAAGTCTGTTGTTTGTTTGGATAAGGTGTTGTACTCCTTAAGTTGTTAATTCTCTTTCCAAGTTTTTCTTTTCTAGTACTCATTTCTTTTTCATTTTTTTGTCTATTTCTCTGATTTTACGTGTAAAAACAATTTTATGCTCTTTAATTTTAAACTCATGATTCATTTCTTCCAGGAGATCTAGCAGAACTTTGTGTACAAGTTGTATTTTTCTTTGCCGTTTTGATTGAAAATATTTTGGAATCATTCTCTTCTGAGTTGGTGTCTTAGGTGTCCCTGTAACCATTATAGCTTTTTCTGGTGGGGATTCTTTTTCTCTTTACTGATTCTTAGTGCTTTATTTCCTGAATTTGGACTTTGTGTTAAGACTCTACTCTCCTCACGTTGGAAGTGAATGAGTACAATATCACTTTTTACAAGAAGACTTCCTCTATTTAATACTAGTACCTTCGCCTTGTTGATTGGGTAATAAGAGATAGTGAGGAGTTCAGTAGACATCTTAAACTCATTGTCTCAAACTGAACTCATCTTTCCTACTGAGCTCATCTATCCTCCTAAACTCTCTCCTCCAATTTTGATATACTATGAAGGGTAACACCATCCTTCCACTACTTCTGGCTCACATCCTAGATGGCATCTTCTATTCCTCAACATCTCCCCACAATCCCTACCTCCCATTTCCAACAGATCAAATAATCTGTTGCCGAAGCCTGTGGATTTAACCTCATTAATTAGTATCTCTTGAACATGCTCCCTTCTCACCTCTGATACTGCTACTATCCTAGTGCAGTTCTCTATCACCTCATTTTTGGACTATTGCAGTAGCCTACTGGTTGGTCTGGCTGCCACAAGTATCTCTCCAATCTAGTCCATCCTCCATTCAACTGTCAAAGTAATTTTCCTTTGCATAGGTCAGACCATCTCTGTCTCTCTGTGTCTTTGTCTGTCTGTCTTTCTCTGTCTCTGTCTCTGTCTCTCACACACACACACACACACACACACACACACACACACACACACACACACACACACACACACACACACACACTACCTCTAGTGGCTCTCCTTAACTTCCAGTATCAAATACGAAACCTTCTGTTCAGTGTTCAAAAGCCCTTCATAACCAAGGCCTCCCTCTCCCCTACCATTCCAGTCTTCTTACAATCTATATGTCTCCTGCTCCCACATAGTCTTTAATCCAGTGATACTGGCGTTCTTGCCATTCCATGAACAAGACATTCCATTTCTCTCAGCTCTAGAAATTTTCTCTGGTTGTCCCCCAAGCCTGAAATGTTCACCCTCCTCATATCTGCTTCCTGACTTCCTTCAAGTCCCATCTAAAATCCCATCTTCTACAGAAAGCCTTTCCAGTCCCTCTTAATTTTACTACCTTCCCTCTGTTACTTCCTGTTTGTCCTATATATAACTTATTTTTATATATTTGTTTGCTTGTTGTCTCCCTGATTAGATTGTTAGCCCTTGAGGGCAGAAATCATTTTTTGCCTTTCTTTGCATACCTAGCACTGAGCATAGTGCTTTAGCACACAGTAGGCAGTCAATAAATGCTTATTGACTGACTGGATGACCAATTAATTGTCAGTTAGGTCATAAGTATTCTTTTTCTATTGTAGTTTGGACTAACTGATCATTGAATTACATTCCAACTCCTATATTCTGTGGTTTTGTGATTTTGTAACCACAACTCTGTATTGCTATTTTTAACACAAATATTGGGTATTTAAAATGTAGATGTTATCCTAATATGTGGGGCCTTTTGTTACATTCCAAATCAGTATCTTCTATTGTAAATAATGTTTGTGTGTTGTGACTATAAAGGAGTGAAACTGATGTCTATAAACCACTCATGAAAATGTTATCACTTTATAGTGGAACCACATATATCACACATAGAGGTGCCTCAGAGATAAACTAGTCACATTTTATAGTTTCATTCTTTTAAAGTTCCTACCTATAAAATTATTTAGTAGATTTAATGTCAATACTATGTTCCACTTGATTCTAATTATAAACTATTTGCGATTTGTTAAGGGAGATGCCTTGTGACAGAAACAAAGAAAAGAACCTTAATTTAGTTTGAAAAACAATAAATTATAATGAGCATGTACTGTTATTGAAATAAAAAGAAATCAATGTACTGACCAGATTGAAATTGAAAAGGTGTTGTCATTTTTAAGATAGCATAAACTACATGCAGATTTTTATTCGAGATTTGGATAAACAAATATATACTGGTGCTTTTTTGTTGTTGTTAAGAAACATATTATGTAATAAACATGTTATTTTCAGGATTGATTGATAATCATTCATTTCCATTCCTCCTTTGTCTACCCCCATGTCCTGATTCCCAAAAGGCTTTGTTTGGGCCTTACTGTTTGCCTATGACATAACATCTGATAAAACTAGTATTTTTATCCTGTTCCAGGATAGCAATCCTTTTGATGCCACTGCAGGGTATCGAAGTCTTACCTATGAAGAAGTGTTGCAAGAACTGGTGAAACACAAAGAACTACTTAAAAGAAAAGATACCCATATCCGTGAACTTGAGGACTACATTGACAATCTTCTTGTAAGAGTAATGGAAGAAACTCCAAGTATTCTCAGAGTGCCATATGAACCTTCAAGAAAAGCTGGCAAATTTTCTAAGAGTTAATAAGCCAGTAACACTGCATTTCATACTTTAAACAATGCTGATGGAAGACACTGCACAACAGGTTTAAATTTTGTTACTTCTTTTCCTGTTAACTTCTCAGAAATTGCTTTAAATTTAACTAGTAATGGGGATTGCCAAGAAAGTGTCATCTCTGAAGTGAACTAAATGATGTAAATCTTTAGATAAAAAAGGCTAGCATCTCTAAGGTGTATAACTTTCCTTTGGGTGTAAATTAGGCCTTCTAAGCCTACTTCCCTACTTCCTGATTAATCTATTGGTGCAGACATTTACCTTAGTAACATTCATCTTCCAAAATGCCTGTCTGTTGCTAAGACTTTTCATCATTCAGATCTTGCCTTCTGAAGTATGATAAATTTTTTGATTTTTTTTTTCAGAAATCAATTTGAGGTTAATATTTAGCCACAGAACTACTAATTACATATATGTACAAATAAGCATTTTATATTTATAATTGATACATTTTAACGCTGAATTTCCCCATGTCCTTCATTTGAATGTGTGAATGTGTTTTATTTATTGGTGCAAATCAAAAATTAGTTCTTGTTAGTATTACTGTTTATGCAGAAACTATTTTGACTCAATCCTAACCATGTGATAATTTGGTTTGAAAGGGAACTGCGATGTAATGTAATACTCTAAAATCCATTCCTGGTATTCATCAGAAAAAATGACCTAAAAGTGGTAGAGTGTCATACTTATGTAATATTGAGACTCTTTTAGGATATTTCAACTTTAAGATATTAGATATTTGTTGGAACTCAATTTTTTTATCCTAAAGTTTGAGTTTTGTGTGAAGACTGTAAAGTTGGTAACAAACTAATAAAATATGTGGGTGGTTTTTTTTTTCTTGGTAAAGATTTTGCATGCTTTTAAAGATGTGGACAAATTGTTAACAAAGAAAAATATCAAAGAAAGTTGGAGGAAGAGGAAAGGTATAGTCAAATACTTGAATAATTCATAATAGTGGAACATAAGGCATTTAGAAATGAGCATAAAATGGGCTGTGTTGTAGGAATATTGACAAAAACAAAATACATTTTAAACATTAAGAGTTTTAGGGTACGGAATTTTTAAACTTTAAACCCAAAAAAGGCTAGATAAGGGGATTATGAAATTTTAGTGTACATCTTTACTCAAAGAATAATATATATTTACATTTCTTAAGGTTCAGTTAGTAATATGATTTTTTTTTTCTGGTGAATTTTTCATCCCTCTACAAAGCACGCTTAGTTACTTCTATAGGGCATCTTTAGATATTGTTGTAAAATGCATGTGAAATTATCCCATCATTTCAGATGGAAATGTAATGGTAAAAAAAAAGTTTTTGTTTTGTTTTTAAACTTTATGTTTGATGACTTTAAAGAAATTATTGCAGTGATAAGCTAAGAAGAAAGCTTTATCTTCTTAATGTTAAGATGTTCATTTCAATTTGGGGTATGTCTTTCTGCACCCTCTTGTCCCTGTTCTTTAATGAACTTTGTAATTTTTTTGACACTCATAGCTTAGCTTCACTAAGAATATATAATAAAGTAGATATAATTCATAAAAAGAGCTAGATAAAGGACTTCTTTTTAAGACAATATTTAGAATTATCTTTTTGGTCACTTTAATATTTTGGGTCAGAGACTATTGAGTGTACTTATCCAAAGGATCTGGTCCATTATTTATAAGATTTACTTATTTCTCCTAAAAGAGAATCATTTTAAAATTCTGAAATAATTTTCATAAGTAGCATGTAGTTCATTTTCTAAAATTAGGAAAATGGGAAATGGAAAATTGATTTTGCCCATTTTTCCCCAACTTACTTTTAGTGTTTAGAATCTATAGTCACTATACCTCAAATATCAATGTTTTTTTTTTTCTAATTTGAAGTCTCAATGACAAATATTTTTGAATCTGGTGCCAAAGGTTATGATTTTTATCACTATGATTTACTTAGATTTAAAAAAATAAAACATTGAATCTTTTTTTAAAGATCAAAAGATAAGGAGTCATTCATTTCTGCCACAAAGATTCTTGGATATTTTAGTGTACTTTGGCCGAATTTGCTTTTACATAATAAATTAATGTTTATTTTGCCATAGGTACCCACATATCTCATGTCATAAGTATGACACAATCAAATCTACTTTAAAGGAGAGGATATTTTCCTGCATAAAGAATCAAGAATCAACAAGCTGTTTATTTTTATCATTGTAAGCCAAAATGAGTATTGTATTAAAACTTGATTTTAATTGCACTTAGTACCACCTGAAACTATTTCAATTATTGGTTACTATCACATGACTTAGAACTGAATGCTGTTTTCATTATAATTACATTATAAATCAATGTAATTAGAAGCAGAGAAAAAAAATTACTGCTCAGATTTTGTTTGCAAATGAAAGTGTCTTTAATCTGTCCTTGGTTGAAAGTAGAAACAAAACTGTCTTCAATTTTTAGAATTGCAGAAAGGCAGAAAATAATATCTTAGCTTGTATTTTTGAAGTATAACTTTATAATTATTCAAATTATTAGAGATTTGATTATGTATTTTTTTAGGTTAGTAGTTTAGAAATGAGGGTACAATTAATGAATTTTTTAACAGAAAGTATGATACTTATAAACACATTTTTTCCTCTTTGTGCTGAAATACATCTATATACTCCAAAGCATTTCACTGGTCTTTTAATCATAAAACAATTTACACAATATATCTCAAAACCTGTTATAATCTGAGAAGCTTCTATTGTATTAATTTAAAAGTTTTTATTTTATAAAATCACTTCTATATGCAAATTTCATTTCAGTATTAATTCCAATTTAGTGATAATAATATTGGAATACTTGCCTGCAGTTAATTCTTTTAACTTTCATTTATGGGACAAATACCAGGGTCATATTTTAGAATTGTAGATAAAATGATAACTTATTACCCATTCATGAAGAATGTATAACATTCAGATGTTACTTTTTGCTGCTATTTTTTGTATTGAGCTTTGTTTTGTCACCTTTGCATGCATGAATGTAGCATTATCCATAGATTAGCCACAACTACATCTATTGCTTTTGGCAGGAAGTCAAAATCTAGTTATAATTTTCCAGCTGTGAAAATGTTGCCTTGTTCTTAAAACAGATTTCATGAACAGAAACCTAAGCAAAACTAAGCTCATCAGTGAACAACTTGCTTTCTTCCCATGTGCTTCCCTCACCCCCATTTTCCTGAAAGGGGGCGTGGTGTATTTTCTTTGATTAGGAGAATCTTAAAAAGAAGTAAGACCTGCTTTCTTTAATATATCTACAATAACTGTTGTACCAGAGGTTTTATTTTCTCCTATAGCTTTTAAGAAAGAGCCTATCTTGGATTTGTAAATCACGCCGAAACTTTTTGATGTTCATGTACTCATACATCTTGTAGATATGGTAGGTGTAAGTTGTGTGTGTTAAAATGAACTTTAAGAGCATGTTGATTCACTTACTCTCTTTGAAGTAAGAGGTGAAGGATTATGGCATTGCTAGTTCATGATACTAGATTTAAAGGTCTGTCAGCACTTCCATTGTAAACTCCATTTTAATGGATTTATAACTTTAATAATCCAGATGTAATCACTGGAAGTATTTAATATGCAATAGATAGCACCTTAGCTAATCTGCATATGAAGGGTTTTCAGATGCATTTATTAAGAAGTGTAGAAGCTCTTCAAGCATTAAACTAGACTTGACATCATTTATTTCATTTATTTTCTATGTCAAAGAATCCACTCTTATGTGGAATTGAAATCTGTTACAAATAATACATTTGGGCTTATTCATGTTAGAAGCTTCCAGATGTTTTGTATTTTGAAGTATGAAAAATTGCTGCAGATCCTAGAATGTGTGTATTTAGCAGGTATGCAAAAGATATAAACATTATTTATAACAGAAGAGTACATACTTGTCTTATTAAAAATACTATAGTAACTTGTACACGTTTTTGAAGGTACAAAACTCACAAGTCTATTTAAATATTGTATAATGTGACGCCAAATTTATGTAATCTGATGCATGAAGAATCAGAATTTTTATATTACATATGATAAGTATTGATTTATTATAGCTGATTAAAGTGTATAATCTTAATATTTTATTTAATTGCATGTCTAAAATATTAATAAATTTCCAAAGTACATCACAGTAGTTTTTTCTTTTAGCTTAGTATACACATTAGTATGTGACTTGTTATGTTTGTATAGAATATTTTAATTTGATATGTTCTATAAGAATGAGTATAACTAAGTATGAAAGCATTTGAAAAGAATTTAAGAGAATAGTAAATGAATTACATACATATCTCCTTTGCAGTATGTACATGAATATTTAGACACTTTTGTTTGGATAAAACATATTTTTCGCTCTACATTAATATGGAAATAGAGATTAAATAGTAGTAACACATGTTGTTCAAACACAATTGTGAAACAATTAAATTCACACAACTTAAATACTGTATTTTGCACACTTCATAGGATCATAGATTTAGAGTAGTACTGGGTTTTAGAGACCATTGAGTCCAACCTACGGGAACCTGAGAGAGAAAAGAGAAAGGCTGAGAAAGGTTAAGTGACTTGCCATAATACCATACTTACTAAGTCTCTAAAGTAGAGTTTGAACCTAGGTTTTTCTTCACTCCAAGTCCTGTACTGTCTGTTGTACTACTACCAGTTGTCTCTAAGTTAGAAAAATTAGGTTGCAAATGAATGTACTCTGAATAATTGAACTGAAAAGACCTGAAAAGTTGTCAAGTATAATACTTTACAAGTTGCAATTTAGTGTTTCAGTGTGTATGGAACTTCAAGTACTCAAATCTTGGGGAGGAAAAAAACCCCTCTGGTTTTCATTGGCTCCATCAAAAAAGTAAAGAAGAACACTATCAAGTTTTTGAACATTTAGAGGAAGCTAAAATAGCAAACAAAATAATTACAGACTATTCAGTGGAATTTTGTAGGAAGAGAAAATATATAATTATTAACACACTCCCCTCCATGAAAAAAATGTGCTGATTCCCGTTTTACAATTTTATTATTGCTGTTATCGTTGAGGTTACCACACTCCTCTCAGTAATCCAGGCTTGCAACCTAGATGTCACCCTCAAATCCTCACTTCTACACCTCCCCTACATCCAGTCAGTTGCCAAGTGCTATAGATTCTGTTTTTCTAACATTTCTCATATTCACTCCCTTCTTCCTTTCCTCTTTTGACACTGCTGCCACACTGGTGCAGGCCTCTACCACCTCATTCTGGGACTATTGGAGTAGTCTTCTGGTTGGTCTGTCTGTCTCAAACCTCTCCACAGTCCAGTCTCTAGCTTATTCAGTTTTCAAATTGATCTTCCCTAGGTGCAGAGGTGACTATGTCTCACTCCTATTCAGCGATTCTCTTATCACCTCTAGGATCAAATGTAAAATCCTTTAGCTTTTAAAGCCCTTCATAACCCAGTCACCTCCTATTTTCAAGTGTTCTTATACCTTACTCCCCTCCAATAACGTTGCCATACAGTGACACTGGCTTCATTGCTGTTCTCACATAAGATATTCCATCTCCCGGTTCCACATATTTTCACCAATTTCCCACCATTCCTAGAATGTTTTTCCTCATCTCTATCTACTGACTTCCTTCAGGCTAAAATCCTTTCTTTTACAAGAAGCCTTTCCCCATCTTCCTCAATGTGCCTTTCCCTTGAGGCAATTTATCTATCTACATCTACATCTAATTTATACATAGTAATTTTTATGTTGTTTCCCAGTTTGAGTGTGAGCTACTTCAGAGCAGGGATTGTCTTTTGCTTTATATCCCCAGTGCTTAGCATGGTTCATGATACATAGGTGCTTAATAAATGACTATTAAATATTGCCTGTTAAATATTTCAGAAAATAAATTTGTTGGCTGAATCTTGGAAATCTTTTCTGTTACCCAGAAGTTTGTTTTTACTAGGACTAACACTCAAATATTTGCACATAAACATCCTTGTCAGACCCTTATGCTGTCAACTGAGTGTATTCTTTAAAATTCTTACTGACTTCAATTAGGAGCCCTGCCTTCTCAGAATATGCCAAGCCATTTGTGTTATTGCAGTTGGGCCATTAATTCTATAGTCTAGTATATAAACCTATTCCTCTAATAAATGACTGCCAATGTGAGTGTAAATGATTCATTTTTTCCCTACCCAACCATGCATTGTATATTCCCTTAGTTGTTTTCCTGCTTTTTTCCCCATGTCTGTCTCACAGGCCATTATGGAGTTGATCCGCCAGCTTTTCTACATATAATTTAAGCCAAACACTTATTAAAGTAGATAAATAAATCAGGCACTTACTAAGCATTTACTATGTGCCTGACTGAGGCTACTAGATGGTGCAATGGAGAGAGTGCTGGCTCTGAAGTCTGGAAGATTCATCTTCGTAAGTTCAAATCTGGCTTCAGACACTTGCTAGCTGTGCTGTATGACTCTGGGCACTTAGCCCCAGTTGCCTCAGTTTCCTCATCTGTAAAATGAGCTGGAGAAGGAAATGACAAACCACTCTAGTATCTTTGCCAAGAAAACCCCAAATGAGGTCATGAAGTGTTGGACATGACTGAAATGACTGAACATTAACAGCAATGACACAAGTTTAGGTGCTGGGAGGTGAGCTTCAGTGAAGCTGTGGAATGTCGTGAGTCGGCGCAGAATAATGTAAGTCTCACCTCAGACAATTAACTTTTTTCCATGACTTCAAAATGAGTATAATAATACTTATACCACCAATAAGACTTGCAGCATCTCACAGAATTGTTGTGAGACATGGCATTTCAAAAACTTGAATGTGAGATGCTCTTATTAAAGCCTTTTCATCCCATACATTTTTTATTGTCTGTGGTTTTCCATAGATCTTTCAGAGGGCATCTACCCAATGTGACAGTCTTTCCTTGATTGTTTTACTATGTCCTGAATACCAGTATGACATTTGGATGGTCCATTTGTTATCTCTCACTTGCTAAATGACCTATCTACCTCCTTTTTTGGTTGTATATTTCCTAGATATTTTTTATAGCACTTCTTATTTTTGAGTCATTATTCATCTTATATTGCTTCCTATTTAAAGGTCAACATATGTCTCCATTGCCATTTGAGTCCCAGCATCTGAATTGGATTTTTTGGAATTTTTCTTCAAAATTCATTCTCTAATCTTCACTCCTTATTAAGCTCAATTCCTTCACTTTTCCCTAGTCCCTCTTTGAAAGTAAAAATTGTGTAGCAAAAGGAGATAGAAAAGAGTGAAAGGGTTGAACTGAAGGAGAAGGAATTTGTGAAAAAGAGTAGAGATTGAATTTGGATAGGAGAAATTTGGGAAAACTTGAGGAATATAGATGAATGACTGGAACTGAAGGAAGAGAAAGACGATTGAGAAGGAACTGAGGAGAGGCGACTCAGGAAGGTAGCTGGCAAAGCAAGGTAAGCACAGCAATAGGGCTTGAAAGCAGCTCATTTTGGAGAATAGGAAGAATTTAGCAGTGACTTGCGCTGAGTTGCAAGGTTGTTATTTTTAGCAAGGCTAACATGTCAACTTTTCTCTGTCCTAGAAAAAGTGAAGGGTTTTGAAAAATATCTCTGTATTCCAGATGATCATAGAATAAGTTTCTTTAAAAAAAAAAGAGGGAATGATTTGCCTATGTGAAAAATAAGTAAAATGATCTGAAGAGGCAAAAGGGAAGCCTGACCTGCATCTGGAGATTGAGTGATATAAGAATGACAGCCAAAGGAAAGGACCACTGAACACTTGAAACTAAAATGAATAAATTTAAATAAAATAGATTTGGAAGTTCTTTTCTGAAGAGGAGAGACTTGGCTGCTCTAAAGATAAAGTAGATATTTTGTCCTCCAGGAAAAGATAAAAATAGGATTATAGATCCTGTCAGGTAAGAGATCTTCCAGTAGGATTCAGCCAAAAAGGGGTAATGTTTGGTACTTACATGGAGTACTGAGGCAGCTGTTTGTCAAACTAATAACAATAGAGAGTCTTGCTGCCTTCCTGAGGCATAGATTTGAGATGTGACAACTTGTCAAAAATTACTACAGTACACTTCTGGTGACGTGAGTACATACATTATACTGCCAAAACGACCCTAGAAAGCATTGCCAAGGATTGCGTTCCTCAAGAAGCTGAAGACCTAGGGCAAGGTGGTATTTTCATCCATGGTGCTTATTAAGGGGATGTGGAAGAGAAATATAGATCTGGAAAGCAAACAACCAATTAGGAAGATAATGAAGAGTGGGATTTTGGATATCTGGACCATGACATAAAATGTAGAAATTCTAAGTTCTTCTCTGGGGATAAAGCATACCTAAAGTAGAAGCTGCTAAGATGCCATTTACGTAGAGTTTTGGAAATTTAAAAGGTCTTTAAGCTAGGGACTATAGTGAGTAGCTACAACATGGGAGAAAGAATAGCTTTTAAGACATCCGAAAGATCACTGGAGACAAAATTCAAGCAGGAGCAAATAGCGAAATCCTTGTCCTTGAAGGTATAAACCTGAATACATACACATTATGAGTAAGATGATACAAAGGTTATAATGTAATGGGGCAGATTTGATGACTGAAGAATCAATGACATTTGGCACAATAAGACCTGTGATTGAAATATTGTTATGGAAAGGTATACCTTATTCAGAAGAAATATCACAGGTAAGAGGGGTATTACCGCAACATTGTATAGTGAAAAGATATAGTCATGTGAAGAAATTTAAAGATCAGAGGGGGAAGAACAGCATAGTGGAGAACATTTAGGTGAAACTTCATAGAAGTAGAATTAGATGATTATGTCATCAGGGCATACTATAGCACATTTGACTAGAAAGAGGTAATAAAGAGGTTCCAGTAACAGAACCCAAACCTGGTGTAGAAGCATGATATAGTAACGACGGGAGATATCAATTGTCCAGGCATCTGTTGAAACTTTTGCCAAAAGCAAAATGGTTAATGGTTTTTAATTTGCTTAAATAATCTTACAAAAAAAAGTGGGGAGACCAGAAAGGGAAAATTGCAGTATGAATCTGTTCTTACCAAAAGAGTGGGAGTTAGTTTCTCTGGTAGGATCGATGGCAACCGTGGGGCAAGAAGCGGTTGGTCCTTATAGAGTTTGTAACTGTGAA